TGGCATCTAGAAGGATATATTGATCCAGATGACATTCCCTGTTGCATGACAGATGATACTATACGAAGATGTATATTTTGTCCAGACCATTTTGTAAAATTGAAACAAAAAGAACCAAATCCCTGAATCTCCTGACAATCTAAGAACTTTCTTTCTTTTGTAGTTTCTACAGTTATACATATGCATGTGGTGTAGCCATGTTTCTCTGTGCTTTAGCAAGGACTGGATGATCTGTCCCTGCAGTTTCTTTTTTAGATCCAGAAGTATCAAATGAGTGCTCAACATTGACACCTGAATTTTAAAAACCTAATATGTATTATAGGAAGTGAAGCAATTCTTTGTAAGTTCTGTAGAGAATTCAGCATCTGCCTCATGTTGTGATTTTTCTCTTGTGGCTTTGAAGGGAAACTTGACTTCCAGCATTATAAAAAAAGCCCTTTAGCCAGTGTATGGCCTGACTAATTGGTCACATTTTAAGGCCCATGGATAATTGCCAATGAGTAGGCATCAGTTTCCAAAGTTGGACAGAATATTCTTGCTCATGTGCCTCGAGGAGAAAGACAATGTTTTCCAGCTTCTGTTTATGACCCTTCAGTGAAGGAAGCTGCAGGGGATCTGTTCTCTTTTAAACTTTACAGTGAAAGATAAAATGATCTAAGTTTAAGGCAAATATGTCTTACTTATATAGGGCAGACTGTTCCCAAAGGTGTGCTGAAGGCATATGCCTTCAAGGTTTGCAACAGTGCCATGTTCCTCTGGAGGTAAGAATGCTTGTGATAGGTGGTCTGCATATGTTAACTGTTAATGGAGTGTAATTATTAGTTAATACAAATATTCACTGGGGTTTGTGTTTGGGTTGTTTTTTTTTTCCCAGAAATGGAAAAGACCAAATGCCAGCATGAACGAGAAGTAGCTCTTGGCAGTGGAGGTGCTTTCTTCCCAAGGGATGTAAGAGTTGGTCACTTCATTCCCCAGTGTGATGAGCATGGGAATTACCTACCCACTCAGTGCCATTCCAGCAGTGGATATTGTTGGTGTGTGGATAGGGATGGAAATGAGATTGATGGCACCAGAAGTGGCCCAGGAGTTCGACCACCATGTAAGTGGCTGAAGCAGTTGTTTCTTGTGGGTGTCTCTCTGCCCAAGTGCACTGTCTCCCAAATGTGAGGCTTGGTCATGACCCCGAGACACAGCACTGACTTGGAGCAATGCAGACTTCTGCTGTCCCAGTGATGAGATGACTCGTGCCCTTCAGTAACTCCAACATACTTTTTTTCCTTCAGTCAGGGTATCTGGACAACTGTGGTGAGCTTCTGAGTAAGATAGCTTTCTAGCTTCTACCCTACCTTGAAACTGTGAGGGGCCTGTACACTCTCTGGGAGCTGTGGGAACTGACCTGCCCCAGGAAATGAAGGATGTTCCTTCCTACATATTCCTCACTTCAGCTGCAAAATAAGATAGTTTTTTATAAACATTTGAAAGAGAGCAATTAAAACTGAACATGAAAAGACCTATTATGTCAATTGCTCCTTCTGTCAGCCAAGGGGAAAATCTCAGAAGCTTTCTGCATCTGATTGTAGTTATTAGGGTCTGCTTATAGGGCCTTTTCCTTCTAAGAAATCTGACTGTAATTGTGTGTCTGCAAATAACAAGGAGTGTTGTTATGCTGTACAAGCTAATTTTTCCCTATCTGTTTCCTTCTCTATTAACAAGGTTTGAGTACAGCTGCTCCTCCTGTTGTTATTGGGCCCTCTGTTCGACCAGATACTGTACCTCTGCCACCAGGAACACACTTGCTCTTTGCCCAAAGTGGTAAAATTGAACATATTCCACTAGAGGGAAACAATATGAAGAAAAATGGTGCGAAAGCACTCTTGCACATTCCAGTAAGTAACCTGGTTTACTAAGTCCGTGTTTTTTATAAGATTTGTGACAAAGGTGAAAGTTAACGTTTGTATACATAACTTAATAATTTAATTTCAAAACTCATTTTTTTTGCTCTTGATTAAAATTTCAGTATCCTATCAATTTGCCAGTGAAAATTCCTGGCCTGATGAGTCAAAAAGCTTAAACCTGACCTGTAGACAAAATTATTTGCCTTTAAAGAATATCTCACAAGACAAAAATCTAATCTCACATGCCTCTAACAGCTTTTCTGTTCCTTCCATTGACTTTCTGAACCTGGTATAAAAGTCTAGGAGACCTACAATAGCAGTAGGTGGAAAGGCCCTTTTTTTTCTGTTCTAGCTCCCTCAAAGATTTTTCTTGAGTCTGAATCTATTCCTGTTTTTCAGTCAGTCCTCTGCACTTCTTGGCTACACATATATTTTTCTAACTTCCTTTATTTTTGCTTCCTTCTCCATGTGCAGGCCCAGTGGGTGGTAAATCTTTTTCCCATGCTTCTTACTACTGTCCTGAGAATCTTTTTTCCTTCAAAACTAATTACTGGTGCTGAGAACCTCTTTTTTTTTTTTCCACCTGTCACATGCCAATCCTTTTCACTTCCAGTTGCATCACATTTGTTTTGCCTGAGGCCTAGGATTTTTGTTTCCATTCCTGTGTTACTTTATTTATAATAGATAGCAATATCAGGTAGCATACTGGCATATATATATTACAGTGAGAATTCAGTAAACAAAAACTAGCTAGATTACACACATTCACTTCAGTGAATAGTACCACAAACTCTGCTGTGGTGTAAGGGCAAAATCAAGCTTTTGCCCATTGTCTAAAGTGCTGCTACAAAAATGTAAAAATGAAGTGAAATACTGTGTGCAAAATGGGGCATGATTCTGAATCCTTGCCAGCTAGTCTCATTATTTACTTGGTCCAGCTTAAATGAATTAATTAAAAGTATCTTCAGGAAAGAATATGCAACTCTTCCTTGAAAGTTTCACCAAAATGAAACTTTCAGTCTCTGCTCATAGTTGTCTCTGTGCTGTGTACTTGCTAAGTGACAGTGTTCAGCAGTGCAGAGGTATTTGGCTTGTTTTTCTACCTGCAACATTAATGTATGCTGATGAATAAGTGCATCTCTTTTAATCCATGGATTTGGACCATCTTTCTAAGGAGCTGCAAATTACAAAAGCAGCATAGGTGACAGACTTAGGAATCCATGTGAAATTGTTTTACCCTGAAAGTCTTTCATTTGTGTGAAGGAGAGTTTGGGCTCTAAACTCAAACTCTAGTTCTATTCTCTTTCTGCCTGGAGAATTGCATATAAATGGTTCTTTTCCCTGAGAATGTTCTTTCCAGCAGAATGATTTATGTAGTATTTGTTTAAGCTGGCTTTTTTTGTTTTAAAAGCTTACTTTGCTAGAAGTTGAGTGAAATGATGCTATGTAGGTAGCTCTGCTGAAATGAAGTCATTATGCATGGGTTGATGAATATGCAGAACACAAGTCAGATTGGATGGAAGTTACTATTCCCCCTTCAAGGGAAAGAATGAAAGAAAAGAAGCATGTGAGGAATAACACAGTAAAATGTCAGTATGAACTTTCTTTAAATGGATATGCAGGTGAAGTTGTAAACATCAGACCAACTGTTCAGTACTAGGATCTACATGCTTCTTTAAAATAATGGTGAATGGTGTCTGCTAGTTAAAAGGGACTTATAACTGATAGTATTTTTCTAAGCTATTCTAAAATGACTGTCACTCAGTCATTTTCTGTCTGTCTTCCCCATCTCCTACCTTTACTCTAGAACTCTGTATTTTTCAGGCTTGAGACTTAGATCCATAAGCTAGTGCTGCTGGCAAGTGAGTAATTGCTGTTTAGCATAAGCTGATCTAACTTGCTTGTTGACCAACAGGACAAAGTTGTTATTGGAGTTGCTTATGATTGCATGGACAAGATGGTTTATTGGACAGACATCAGTGGCCCTTCAATCAGCAGGGCTAGCCTGCATGGTGGGGAGCCAACAACCATCATCAAAACAGGTAACGGCACAAAGTTCTTGCTCCTACTGCTCCTTAAGAATCATATTAGAGATTCAAATTTAGTAATGTACACTTCCTAAGTTTTGCCTGAGCTGACTAGAGTTGCATCTATGTGTTAACATGAAATATCATCTGTGGGTGTCACTCTTTGATTTTAGTTCTGGCAAGCAAGGTAAGTGCTGGATAGCTGAGATTTGGTTAGTATAGTCCTTTTCTCTCCTGGTCTCTGTCTGTCAGCTGCCTGCTTTGCTCAGAAAGGAATGGTGAGCATGGAGGCTGAATCATAGAATCAACCTGGTTGGAAGAGCTCTCAAAGATCAGAGTCCCACCCTACTGCTGTTACTAGACCTTGGCACTAAGTGCCACATCCAGTCTCATCTTGAAAACTCCAGGGATGGTGAATCTGCCACTTCCCCGGGCAGCACATTGCAATGCTAGAATGCCAGCAGAATCTCTGCTCTCTATTCCTGGGCTTGAGGATCAAACATCAGAAAAGTTAAAAAACATTTCAGCTCTGACTTTGCATGCCTACCACTCAAGTTGCAAAATGAAAGTGAGTAAAGCCACCTTCTTTGGGTTTTACCCTTGGAGCTGCTCAAGGATTTGAGAACTGGGACTAGAGGGTATTGTGGAGTTACTGCTTTTACAGTCTGTATCCTGTTCTTATACTCCTTTCTTCAAACTTTGCAGCTCGCTGCAATCCATTTCATTTGCATTAGAAAGGTAAATGTAAACCCATGCAAATTAGATATAAAAGCCTTTTTTGAGTGGAAAGGGTTAAGGGGAAGGACAGGTTTGGAGAACAAAAAAGTGAATGGAAGCCCGTTTTGAATACCAGTGTCTTCAGGATTCTAGAGCACCTTTGAAGTCAAGATACTAGAGGAGGTTTGCTTTGCTTTGGACCCTTAGCAACTATTGTTAAAAAATATTAGGAAATTACTTTATCAAAATGATCAGCCAGTTTTAAAACTACAGTAAATTTGCTTTAGTTTCCTTTGGATGCATAGAGAATCGCTGCCCAGAGTTTGTGCTTTGGAATAGCCAGTTTACAAAGACTCCATTCAGGCTCTTAGGGACAGTGGACAGATGGGGGCAGCTTGGATCCTACCGTTTTCCTGGGAAGAGAAAAGGGAGAGCTTAAGGCAATCCCTAACCATCCCAGCATTTATGGAGCTTCATATTTCTGTTCGACTTGATGGCTGAGGTATTTGTAAGACTTCTTTTTCATCCTAGCATATTTAATCTGAAAGACTCTGACCTGTAGTGCAAACACATGCCTGTGCAACTTACAAATTTTGCAGGGAAAGGATTTTCAGTTTCCACAATTAAAGGATTTTCTCAGATTCTGCACTTTTAATAGTGTGGGAAATTACTATTGCTACATATTTTATATGGATATGAATGCCTATCTAATGAGAATTGTGTGTACACATTAAAATTCTTACAATGTATCAAACATTTGAAAAATATTTGTGAAGACTTTCAACTAAATTGGATTTTTTAAGGTAGCTCAAGATGTTTCAATGCCACATGGAAACCTAATGGTTTTTATCTGCTACAAAAAACATTGTATGTGTGAAGGCATCTCATGATTTCTGTTGTCCTGTTGTTTGCGTAGGAAGCAAATGCTGTTCCTGAAGAGATCAGGAGAGATGTTGCACTTTACTTTCAGTGTGTTAACAGGCATTTCAATAAGGAATCAGACCAAGCTAATATTGAATATTCAGTGTTTGAATGAATATTTTCTGTGCTGGCCAAACCCAAAACTTTAGAATTTCATGAAGTAGGAAAATGCCTTCCTCTCAGGAGACTCATGAGAATCTTTTTTGTTTTGATCTTTTTCCTCCTGTGAGCTCCAGCTGCTTTCTTCAGTTCATGTGTATTTTTGTGGAATGTACTACTTTTTTTTTTTTTAAAGCTCTAGTGATCCGAGTTGTGTTGCTTTGCAGAAACATGTGAAGCCCCATCCAGTTCTCCTCTATCCCTGCAGCTGTATAGCCTGTGGAGGCTCTCTCAGCTCTGCAGCTGTGGGGGCAGGTTAGGAGAGCTTTCCTCTCTCTGGTAATTGCTTAAGTCCCATCCGCTGTACATGTCTGTACAAACTTGTCCCCAGGGAGAGAGTCTGCGGCTCTGTCAGGCCTGATGACAATATAGCAGGAATATATTTGTGTCTCTGGAAAGTCTGGTGATACATGAAGCCTTATAAATTCCTGTACCCATCCTTCCATGGGGGATAGATTTTTCTGGCTCACTGTTAACTGCACAGAAGAGGCATTTACTTTAGGCTTCTTTAAATCTCCTGACATACAGCTGACACATTGAAGCAAGGACACTAGTAGGGAACAAGGGCTCCTGGGAATCAGTGACAGCAAATCTTTTGTCTGCTCTACCATCTTGTGTTTCCTAAAAGAGTCTGGGAGCTCCTCATTAATCTTCTGATCCCAGAGCCTGGGGATTGTCGCCACCCATCATGTCAAAATGAGGCCACTCTCAGCAGCCTCTGCCATTAGAAGGAAAGAACTAGGAACATTTGAGGGTCTGAAGCAATATGAGGTGGTTTCTTGTAGATGACAGGTTTGGCTCCACAGAGGCACTTGGAGAAATACAAGTAGTAATATGAGTCAGTGTAACTAAGTTAAAGTATATGCCCAAGTGCCCTTAGGAGAAGTAAAGAGATGACTGATTCACATTTACGTTCTTGCCCTCTCCTCTCCCAACATAAGCTGTGAGTCAGAAGCAGTGAGACACATCATATTTGTTCCTTTCCACCTCTTCAGCAATTAGTATAAATCTAAAATGTTGTGTGCAGATTAAGTGTGGTAAATGTAATCCAGTTGAGTGAGAGAGCAGAGGCTGTTAAAGCTATTGTGCAACTATTACTCATAGCGAAGTCACAGTAGCAAATTTTAGAGAGCTCTACCCAATGTTCTGGACCAAATGTGTTTTGTCCAGAGAGGTTGCTTGTGTCACATAGTTTGTTTAATGGCTGTCAATAAATCAGCTTGAGAATTAAAAGAAGGCTAATAGGCCACATTCCATTGGTGCATGGATCAGTATGTGAAAAGTGGTTTTTTCAACAGCTGGCTGGTATAAAGGGTCACCTCACTTCTTTTGTGGAGTGACCATGTACAGTTCTTTCTTTTTCTTTTGGAACTGAAATTGGACTAAAATTGATTTTTACTTGTCTTTGGATTCATTACATTCTGTGTGGCCTGCCTGCTCTTTTTCGATGGATGTAAGATGAAAAGTACAGAGCAGTTTCTCATAGTGACTGAATTAAACTTCATGTATTTCTTCTACATCCTTCATCTGAGTTAGAAATTACTAATGCTAAAGCAGTAAGGTCATTATCTGCAATTTCCTGTTGCTTTTGGAACAACTAACTGTCCAAGAAAAACTGTGCACATACAGTACTAAAACATGTTCCAAATGTTTTGCTCTGCAAAAACAAAGAACTGGATCTAAATTGCATCAGTTAGCTAATACCATTGCCTCTAATGTTTGGAGTTTGATTATGTTTAATTATTGCATTGGCTGATTTTAGCATAAATCTAGTCTTCTGAGGGGTGCCATGTATGAAAGTACCAGAGACAAAGAAATACTAGGGATTATAAAATCCATTCTGTGGTCTGCTAAGGAGGGCAGAATTCTGATGTTCTCTACTGTTTGTTTCTCTGCTATCAGCTCTTCTTCTGTCTGCCTAGCAAGCAGAGCTTACACATGTGATGGGTTTGTTCCTCATAGAATTTGTCATTTATGTATTTATGAAAGCTTTGCGTATTTCAGCTTCATGAGGTAAAGTGTGTGTTCCTCTTCCAACTGACATGAAGTAGCTTTTGTTGGACTACAGCCAGAAAACTGAAGAAAACGTAACCTATCTCAGTTAACAGTGATGCTTATGAGGCTGAAACTGTATTAGAAATAAATAGAATGCCTAACCATATTTTTCTCTCTTCTTCCGCAGACTTGGGAAGCCCTGAAGGGATAGCTGTAGATCATCTAGGTCGCAACATCTTCTGGACTGACTCTCAGCTGGATAGGATAGAAGTGGCTAGGCTGGATGGGCGCCAGCGTCGCATCCTTTTTGACACTGGCTTGGTGAACCCCAGAGCAATTGTTGTGGATCCTGTGAGAGGGTATGGATGTGCTGCCCAGAGATGTGCAAAGCTTGATGTTTTTAGTTATTTAACTATTTATCATGAGTGTGTACTCTGAGACCATGTTTTCAAGCAGTCTGTAGACAGTAATAGAAATACCTTTTCCTAAAACAGCTAACAAACAGATGAAACAATCTACTTGTGTCCTATGTCTGAGTGGTATACCGGAAATAATACTTCTAAAATATCTGCTAGGCAATACTGCGATATTTCTTGAGGGATTTGTCAAATAGTTACTTATGCCTTGCTTTCAGTATGTTGTTTCAGTACAGGATGACAAACGCTGTCCTTAACAAAAGAAATACTTTTTTTGCAAGATTACTGGTGTAAAGTACTAGATTAAGCAATCTTATATTTTCATTTCCATCATGACAGCCCTTCTTCCTGTATGGAGTTCCATCTTGGAAAACTCCCATGGTGTTTCTTCTGTCATCATTTTCACTCCTGTCATTCAGTTGCCTGAGAAGGTTCTATTAGGCTTCTATTTGAAGATGCATATACCTACTTGCTTCAAAAATTGAGCCTGTAAGCAGCAGTCACAGAAATAGCCTAACAGAGTGTCAGTAAGGAAGTGTAAATGTTTTCAAGTTATGGTTCCAGCCTGCAAAAATGGAAGTATATACATATTTTTATGTAGTCTTTGATCAGCTGACATTTTTTCTCACTGAATATTGGAAGAAACACAGGAAAAAATCAAAACTAGAATAGAGTTCATGGTAGTACTGCATGTCTGTTCATTATTGTCTGAACTTGCCTGCACTTTTCCTGGTGCAGCTTTCTGTAGCATGGCCACTGCTGAGAAGAGACATTTCAGTCAAAATACTCAGAAGCACAGAGGCTTTTTTTTCCTCAATTTTGAATTGCTGGCAAACACTACTAAATCATTGCTAAATTGATATAAAAGGCATTTGGAATGCTCTTAGTGCATACAAAAGTGAAGTCTTTCTCAGGGAAAGTTTTTTTGAAAGGTGCATCCTGATTCCAGATGTTGCCAACAAGGTTTTATAGTGAAAAAAGAATGCATGTGATTCATGAAAATTTGAGTGATACGAAATTAAACGAAAAAGTAATGGTATTGACTTCTCTAATTCCTCTAATACAAAATAAACTTTTACGTTGTAGTCGCATAATTGTCAATTGGAAGCATCTGGGGATGCACATCAAGCAACATCATAATAAGGAGAAACAAATGCACTTTGTGGTGCAAGAGAAAAGGAGAGGCACAAGTCTAATTAGACCAAGAAAAGACCTGTTCTCCATGCAGAACCTCACTGATGGGATGTAGGTTCAGGTCAAGCAGCATAGACTTCCGTCTCATAGCAGATTGTGTGTGCTTGCTAAGGAGTAAACAGGGTGCTTGTGTTGAGGGGCCATGTAGATTCTCAGCTGCAGAAAGTACATCCAAGGAACAAAAAACACCACTAACAAATGGTCATTAATAATAAAACATCAGTGAGTCAATAGCCCTCTCTGAGGATCTCCCCTGAGCATAAACCACTCTGATTCCATTGTATGTTGCTTACTTGGTGCATTGAAAAGAAAAATACAGTTTTGAATGAATCCCAAGTGTATGCCAAATGCTCTTGCTTTAGCCTGAGCAGATGTGATGGGCAGTGAGATGGAGAACTCAAAATGTACATTTTGAATGGTCCTCAGAAGTGTTGAGATAAAGGTATTTTTGGCTGGCATGTTGCATGTAAGCTAAACAATTTAGAGAAAGCCTTTCTTCTCAGGTGTGTGCTTGCTGCTTTTGTTTTTAATGGAAGTATATTTTCTACATCTTCACTATAATTTTTCACATTGTATTTCGATATAGAAGTAGTCCTTATTATTATTTAAGTGATTTAGGTATGTGCATATTACTTTTGTGTCCTTAGCATTTTCCTTAATTGCAAAAATTTTTGAGTTCAGGTGCTGTCTTAACTCTTGCCTTTTTCTTCCTCCTAAGAAACTTGTACTGGACTGACTGGAACAGAGAAGCTCCTAAAATTGAAACCTCATACATGGATGGCACAAACAGAAGAATTCTTGTTAAAGATGATCTTGGGTTACCAAATGGACTTACATTTGATCCTTATTCTTCAATGCTGTGCTGGGTAGATGCAGGTAAAGAGGTGCTAAAATGTTTCTTTATAATAGTAATAGAATAAGTAATTGGCTGTAATGATCTCTTGATTTATTCACTGTTACTACCCCTGTAGCATTAACATGCATGCAAGCTGAAAGGTTTCAATTCACCAAATTTTCTAGGAATGCAACAGACTTGTATCTCTGTGTCTTGTATGTGGCTATCTCTTTAGGTAGTGCTTAAGCCTTTGTAAAGGAAGTTGTTAGCATAAGACCAGGGGAAAAAACACTGTTTTATCTAATCAGGCCTACAGAATGTCATCCTGGCACTATTGTTCTAAGATGTGTAACCTGAGGCAAAGTCTGGTTTATATTTGACTGAAGCAAGTCTTGAAAAAGCAATGCAACCTAAAGATCAAGAGATGAAAGTTCTGCAGCTGACACATTGTTAATTTTGTGCCACTGTGGTATCAGTTAATGTGCTTTTCATTCTCATTTAAACTTCTGGGTATTTAGCATCTTGCTGCCTCTCTCCCTTTAGACTCTAGCAGAGGTCTCTTCCTGTGGAGATGCTTTTACATCTCAAGTCACCTTTCAAGTTTTGGATGAACTAAAACGATTGAGCTCTCTTTTGATTCCACTGTAAAATGCTTTCTCCAGCCTTCAAATATATCTCCTGCCATCTCTAATTTCTTTTTCTCTCTTACTTTCTTGTTCTCACATTTGTCTCTCTTCCTTTTTTGTCTAATTTTGAAACCCATTACTTAAAAGAAACCCACACATGTTTACATTTACTAGCAGAGTTCACAGCCTGTGGCAGCTTTGCAGTTAGATGTTTTTGCACCCTATTTGGATCTACAAGTTAGATGTTCTTCCTGCAGTCTCACCTTCATGGCCCAACCCAGCAAGCATTTGGGAAGATGCTTACCAAGCCAGCTTTACAAAAATGCCTTTCAGAGGAAGTGAAACTAGCTAATGGCTCCAGAATGGAGGAGACCTTCTGTCAACTTCCACACCAGCCTGAGGATGCTGGTATTTCTAGTAGGAAGCTCAGCTTGTGAGCAATGGCCATGGCCATATTGGGCATCTGTGTTCCTTTGTTAGGTAGTGGGCTGGTTAGTGTTAGCACCCAAGTATTTTCCATCCAATTTTTGGCACATGCATAGATGTGACATGGAGGAAGGCTTTGGCTAAGCAGCACACTGAAAGACTTCAGGAGTTTTTACTCTGTTCATGCTTGCATGCTTACGCTTGTCCCTCATCTCTCATGAGAACTCTCTTGCTCTGATTCAAAGGCTTAATTGTTTCCCTAAAAAAAAATGAACCCTAATCAGCTTGGTCGACGAAAGGTTGTTGAAGGAATTCAGTATCCTTTTGGTGTTACAAGCTATGGGAAGAATTTATACTACACAGACTGGAGAAGGTACATTATCTGCTAAAGAAATTATGGAGTGCTTTAATCTCTTCTCCCTGGAAGAAACTGAAGTATATATGGCATTTCTCACATCTGACCTCTCACACATTCCTATTTTGTTGTTTTCCTGGCAATAACTGTTGCAGGGTGGAGTGGGTCTGTAGAGCTGACCTATTGCCAGTTAACTGGGTTTGCGTTTTCAGCACAGTGATTTGTCCTCTAAGAAAATGATTTTTAACACTGAACATTTTTGGGAAAGGAGTGAGCGTTAACGTTTCCCTTATGGCTGTACTTGCTGTATTGTAGTGAACAGAAATTCATTGCTCTTGGCTTTCAATGCTTTATATGATCTGAATGTTCAACCAGAAATGAGGGAAAAAACCCACTTTTACTTTTACTAATTGTAAAAACAAGCAACTTGAGATTTTCTCCTCTTTTGGTTCTGCTTTGGTTTTGGCTTTTGTTTGTTATGGGGTTTTGGGAGGTTTTTGGTTGTGTTGATTTCTTTTCCCCTGTATTCCACCTTCATCTCACCTCTGTATATTCTCCTCTACATACTGCAGGGATGCTGTTGTAGCAGTGGATCGTACGATTTCAGTAGAAAATGATAACTTCCAGCCTTACAAGCGTTCCCGTCTCTATGGAATTGCCACAGCCTTTGCTCAGTGCCCAGGAGGTAACCCAGATGATTCTCATGTTTTTACCACTCTGCAGCACCTTAGTGTATAAATGAACTTATCTTTAAGCTGCCAGCTGATCTAGATGGTGGACTGGTTAGTAGTTAGACTTCCATTTACTAAGAAATTAAAAACCACCTATAATTTTTTTAGCAGTTGTGGTTGCCACATGAAACAATGGGAAGGAAAGAGGAGACTGTTCTGTCCTTTATGAAAGGACAAGTGTATGATCAAGATAAGCATCTAACCTGTCAAAAGCTGTGATATTGTCATCTAAATTGAATGCTATATTCATCGTTAGGGCTTAATTGAGTTATTTTTAAGCTTAAACTGCAGAAAATATCATGGTCTTCCAGATGTCCTTAATGAGATGCAGTGTTTTTAAAAATGGAATGTTCAGAAAACAGCAGGTGGTAGGGTGGCTGGGCAGAGCTGGCCTTTCTGCTCCACTGAATGTTACGTTTTTCAGATATGCTCTGGAAAAACCCCTTGTGAAGCTTAGAAGAGAAGTTGATACCCTTGAAATATAATTTGGTTTTTGAGAAGCAGGATCACTGTGCAGTTGTTCTTCTTAGCAAATCACAGTTGGGAGAGAAGGGTTTACCTTTTGTTATTACAATGTGGCTGGAATTATAGGAATTGAGGTATTATTATTTTAGGCCTAAAAAACACCCCAACCCTCAAGATAGCTTCTGTTCAAATTATTTTATATATGTAGTAAAAAGCAATTCAACTGAAGTCTTTCCTATGAGCTTAAAAATGCATATACATGTCATAATTAAGAAATCAGTTAAGCTGTTATTACTAGCTAATTCACAGTTCCATTTGGTAAGCATTGTAAAACTAACCAACATTGTGTGCTCTGCAGAATGTTGGTGTCATTTCTTTCTCATCATTCATCTAGTTTCAAGTGTTTTTCCTGGGATGGATGCCTTTCACCTCAGATCCACTGCTTCTGGCACTGCCTTCTCTTTCATTTTACCCTTCAATTTCAACAATTCCCAATCCACCCAACTTTTTTTTTTGTTTTGTTTTCATGGATCATTCTTCCATGTTTTGGTAGTATCCAAGGATGATGTTCTGTAGCATTTTGGACTTTGTCCCCACGTGTTGCACTTTCTCTACTTCCTCACTCACTGTTCATTCCAATGTCTGGGACTACGTGGCCAGTTTATGAAGGGGATTTCAGGATCAGCCCAGTTGATTCATGTTGCCTCTCCCACTCTGTCCTGATATCTCAGTGTTTCTTTGATGTGACTATCAAGTTGACACAAGGGATATGATGACTGTTATCTCCGCAAAGCATAGTTTTGTTTGACTCCTAATCTCATTATGGCTTGTTTCTCTAGTATAGTCATAAAACGTGCAGTTCTTCATGTATGTATGTTTGATTTTATTGAGGGTTTGCGCTTGTTTTTCTTTAACATTTTACATCTTTGGTTTTTTTCCAGGACATAACTACTGTACAGTGAATAATGGTGGTTGTACCCACCTCTGCTTGGCTACCCCAGGAGGCCGTACTTGCCGCTGCCCTGACAACACAGTTGGAGTGGATTGTATAGAAAGAAACTGAGCGTTAAAATAAGCTTTAGGGCAGCAGACACCTTTTGGAAATGTGCTGTAAAGAATTCACTCCTATCAACACAATCAGACCCTAAAGATAAGTGTTCAATGCTGCAGACAGCAAGCCACAATGTGCACGTGCAGACACACACACACATGCACACGCAGAGGCATGCAGACACTCACACACACACACATGCACACGCAGAGGCAGTGGCTGTTTTGTAGCAGTTAAGCAAGACAGAGCTGCCCAGGTTGGGTCCACCTTCACTTTAATCCTTGTAATATTATCTCCTTGCTTTTGAAGGTAAATTTGGAAGCCATAGTTGCATCTGCACTGGACTAGGAGGATGTGTCTCTTGGCAAAATGAAAGTAACAAATACCAAACAGAGTAGAGAGGGTGACACTACTCACATCCTGAGACTGGGTTGTACCTTGGAGTGTGCAGCAGTTATCTGCACAGTGGCATGCTTAACCCATCAGATATGTGGCTGAGCCTTATCTCTAGCTGAGAAGAAACCAGGGGGTTCCAAGGATGAACAGATGTGAGTGAGAACACCCAGTAATAGCACAGATTTAATACCTAACTACATTCCTTCTCACTCCTAGTCCTCTCACTTCCAAAACTTGAATCTCAACTTTTAACTCTTGTGTTGAGGTACTTTATCCATGTGTTGTGAGGATAGTAATTCTCACCCTGGCTCATGTGGTCTACAGTACATTATAGATAATCAGCACTGCTTAGTGGATATATTTGAAGTTTTTCTTAGGTTTTAAGAGATTTATTTTTCTTCTGTCTGAGGTGGATTCCTGAGTACTTCCCTAAAATCCACTAAAGAAACTTTAGATAGAGATCTCAATTGCTGATAGTTCATCAGAGAATGGATGTTGATTCATTTGGAGATGTTTGATTTTAAAGAGATACACAGCCACATTTGTTTTCTGAGAGATTTTAAAATAATATTTCTGTTTGATTCTATAAGCCTTAAAGTGGTCTCTGAATTCTATCCTAGCAATCTTTCTTCTTTAGCAAATCATGCCATGCATTTTCATAGACCATGAGAAACCATGACAGTTAAAAATCTGATTTTCAGAAGGCTCACCTGTGCCTTGGTGCTGAAAAGAAAGAGATAGTGATGCCCTGTTTGTGTGCCAGTGTTTAGTAACAATGTTCAGTAAAAGGTGTGCTGAAAATCAAAGCAAGAAGAGAAGATCAAAATGCATATTCGTATGTCAAATTAGCAGTACAAATCTGGGAGTGAAGTTCGACTTCCACACTGTGTGTTGGGAAGGAAGTTTGCCTGCAAGCCAACTGGCAGCAGAGCAAAACAGAGCTCATGAGGCTTCTGCCAGAGCACATTTCACTATGTCATGACCAGAGAAGTAAGCTAGCATCCCCATTTCCTCACTCCCTCTTCGGACACAACAGTAACAGCTTTAAACAGAGCCAATTCTGAGACTTAACTGTGTGACATCTTTAATTGTATATTTATCATAAAATAACAAAACATATAAACTTTTTAAAGATTTTTTGTATAACTTTTTATAACTTTTAATTCATTCTATTCGTACACATAATCGGGTATGTCTTACTGTAAATATCAAATTTTTGTTGAAATGAAGGTGCTCTTACTCTTTCTCCAGAATTATTCACATATCTGGTGAAATATTAAAGTTTACACTCTGTACAGGTATCTACAGTACAGTCAATAAAAATGGTTGTTTTTTATTTTCCATAGAAAAGAACATCATGCCTGTGGAAAGAAGTGATATGTGTGTCTCAAATCTCTTTTCCCGTTGAGTTCTGGGTTTTAGCTAACTCACATCTAGTCATGATAATTCTCTTCAAAGATGCAACATTATAGGGGGAAAACTTCTGTTGGGGCTTTTGTATTTTGGAAACAGTAGGATAATTCTACTCAAAACAAGTACATGAGTGCTTAGAAAACATACAGCTTTTGTGTTTCGACACAGATTTTTTGCTGGTTGTAAACTCTTGTTTACCTTTGTCAAGTAAGTATAATTCAGTTGTACCATACTTCAGTCTTCTACCATAGGGGAAACCTAGGGGCAAGCACAAGATTAAATGGAGGCAGAATTTATCCCTCTACTCCAGGATGCCCTGGTACTGGGTTTCTGGGTGACAGGGTATTTTGCTGTCTGGTGCCACAGAATGCAGGCTCTGCATGTGGCTGGAGGTGTGCTGTGGCTACAGCTAAGTGAAGTGTGGCCTGCTGGAGGTGGTGATGCTGAGATTTAAACACCTCAGCTTCTATGACTACAGCATATCATTGCCTTGGGAAAGCAGGGGTTTGTGTGGCAAAAGACTCTAGTATTAAGTAGGTGGACAGCTGGAGACAGCATGCCTGTCAAGTGAGCCATTGGAAAGATGGACAGTGGGGCAGCAAGCAGAGCTACTGGGATCTAAAGGGTGACGTGTACCAGGAGGAGAATAGTGTTGATCTATGCTGGGGACTGCAGATGGAATTGGAGGGAATTGGGCCTTTGTTCATTCTTTACTGTATGCTTTGATTTATTTTTTTTCTTTTTAATATTTGGACCAACACAACATTCCCCTTCATGTACTATGATGACTACTAATTTACAGAACCCTAGTCAGCTCATTCTGTGCTAATCAATGAGTCATGACAAAGGTATATTTTTACACTACATATTTGGTTAAAGAAGTAATGGAAAATAGGATGGGTTTTATTTCATTATTAACATTAATTTTTTTATAGTATAATAGGCTGGTACTGGTAGTCATGCCAGTCTCTGGTTGAAGTAAAGATTCTCTGCAACTGTAGTTCACCTTTTTTTGCCACAAAAAGTAGTGGATATCCAGGTTTTCCAGGAAAGGAGAACAATTTCTGCAATGGTTAAACAAAGGACAAAATGCTACTCGGAGTTATTCCAGAGGTAGGTTAAATGTTTTCTTAAATTCTTCCATTTAGATCTTCCAGCACACACAAAAATACTTAATGGTAAGACTATTAGTGATGTTTATCAATGATGTAATAAATTGCAGATAAGTGAAACTACTAAAAGCAGTAATGGCTTCCTTATGACTTAGTGGGATGGTTTGGCTACCTTTCCATCTGAAGGGTGTTTGAAAACCTCAACTTTACTCCCTTTAACTTGTAAATAACTCTCCTCATGGTGGGCTTTTCTGAAGCCCAGCATCCAGACCAGTGTTGTTCCTGGTTGATAAACTGCTTACTCTGCAGTTCTCCACTTGCACAGTTTTGTCACAACATATTAGATTTTTAACTTGCAGGCCTATAATTAAGAATGACAGATGATTACTAGAGGATAATGGCCCCTCAATGGCAGTGTCACAATGCATCAGTTTTAACCTATGGTTAAATGCAAACTGATGTTGTGTGTAGTGTTTCACAGTGTATTCCTTGGAGAACTTCCTGGGGTTAAAAAAAAGCAGGATGTGAAACACATATGGTTATAGAGCATGCAGTTGTGAGAAACCCCCTGCTTGGCCTGTCTGTAAGAACGAAGCATTACCTCCAGAACCTGAGTCCCCAGCTGGGGATCTGGCAGCAGTTTGTTCATGAAGTGATTGAATCACTTTCTTTGTTTAAACTCTAATTGAAATCTGTCCTTTATCTTATAAATAAGCTTAGGATAGCATGTCAGTAAAATAGGAGAAAGGTCAATACATTGCATCCTACAAATGTGCATGTTTGGAGCTTTGCATGGCAAACAAAAGGTTTGGCTGGCAGTGGAATGCAGTGGGTGGGCTTCCCTGCTGCTTTGTGCCAAAGCAGATGGAGCTACAGTAACTTAATACTTCTTTTTTGTCCAGAAGGATTCTGGAGTTGCTGAATGGGGACAGACTGCCATTCCCACAAGTATCCAGGATGCTGTGGGTCAGCCTTGACCTTCTTAGTCTTAAATATTCACCAGAGTCCATTTGTTTTGTGATGGTGTTGCTCGCTCTGGGCAGGCAGTGTTTCCTACTCCATGGGGTGTCTGGAACACCCAGGATGCACGCAGAGGAGCTGTGGAATGCAGGGCCTTCAACATGAGGAGAATGGCAAACTGTACAGATGTCTGGGACATGCCAGTGGCGCCTGTGGATCTGACCCAGTAACTTGCACAGCAGCATTGGGGAGAACAGTGTAAATCTTCCCAGGAGCTCAGTGTAGGGTTATAGAGAAGGAAAGTGTGGTGGAAGGCAACTGAAGAGGAAGGTTCTATGGCAGTGGATGCAGATGTGTGTGAAGTGTGGGAGGAGAGGGGAGCAATTAGCATGATGATGGTTATACTGTGTATTTGTGGTCTTCAGTATGCTGCTGGGGGTAGGGTGAGAGAGACTGGGATGCTGAGTTACAGTGGATTTTGGAAGCCTTTCCAGTCCCTTTCCCACTAGAACCGTAATATCACAGGCACTTCGGGCACTTTGAGATAAACTGTAGAATTCCAAACCCTGTTCTGTTTGAGGACAAAACCCAAGAGCATGAGGTTTTGTTTTTCCTACCTCTCTTCCCTGCTTTCTGCAGTTAAGGAGCCAAAGCAGATAAGCCAGAAGAGAGTATAGTCTATCCAGCTTCCTACCAGAGGGAGAGCATGCTGCTGAGGGTCTGACACAGTGTCTGACACAGCCCCAGACACCCTGGTGATCCACCACTGGCATTTCATGGTGCAGCTGCTCCCCAAAGTTGGTCCTACAAAAATGGTTTCTAGTACCCACTTGCATGACCTCTTCCAGGACTAAATTCTCTAACTATGATTTGCTGTGCGCATTAACTATACACCAAGTGTGTCACAGGGATCTCTTTAATAATGAACAGCAACAAAGCACTAGTCTGCTAACAAGCTGCTAAACCCATCCAGCAGCTTGAGTCCAAAGGTCCCTGTTGATGCATTTGTAAGCATGAGATTTTTGCCTCTTACATCTTCTGAAATGTTAATAAACAATAAGTCAGCCTGTAATACAATGCATTTCATGTATTCTTAAGTGATTGCACTGTAATTAATAATTTATCTTAGGA